AAAAAAAAAAAAAGTGTTTTTGAAACCTAACTCTCATATTATCAGTTCAATTTTATTTTCATTTCCAAAATCCATTCTAGCTGTAGAGTCAATCATATTCACAAGATGTAACCATCAAGTTGTCCAGCTTTTGATTTTAAAAACTAAGAACATTTTTAACAAAATCCATTTAATATATACATACCTGTATATGTATTTATGAATAAAGATGTATCTATTTATATATATGTAAGTACATTCACCAAAAAATGTATGTGTGCATGTGTGTGTATGTGTATGTGTGTTGTGTGTGTGTCTGTGTGAGTACGCACACACGGATACTGGGCTTGAACCTCAGGGCCTGGACACTATCCCTTAGCTTTTACCACTTAAAACTGTCACTTTAACACTTAAGCCATAGCTCTTCTTCTGGCTTTTTGAGCTGAAGATAAGAGTCTCTTATCTGCTCAAACTATGATCCTTAGATATTGGCTTTCTGAGTAGCTAGGATTACAGGTGTAAGCTACCAGTACCTGGCCCCAATAAATAATTTTGACATGAAAAGAACCCTAAAAAATTGTAAAAGCATGTGAAATTGGTGTAATATGTTTTTACACTTGTAAAAGGACCTAAAATGATATAATGTGTCTCTACATTAGAATATCTTCACACCACCCTACGTACGTACTACTATCCTTTTCCATAGAGAAGAACACAGGATCACACACTGGTAAGCAGCAGTTCTGGGCAATCACTGACCTTCAGGATCTAAGAGGGGAGTCCTTTCCCCTCTGACATTCACCATGGCTGTCACCCTTCACAGTGTGTGTAGCATTTAAAATGCTTGCACAGCTAACTGAACTGTAGTAATGTAACAGCTGCCACTTAGGATGTATTAACCACATATTGCATAGATATGTGAATTATATGCCTATTACAAAGACTAAATTACTACATATGCGAAGGGTGCAGCCCAGAATTTGGCATAGCAACTACTGGTCTTACTTCCCATTCATAGAACTCCATAATGGATGCAATTAATGGATGCAATTTATCTCAGGTTTTAAATGAGGGAAGATTAAAAAAGAAACTGACATGTTCAAGGTTGGAAAAAAAAAAGTGGATGAGTCCAGGATTTCTGACTAACATGGAACCCTCTATATCATTCAGATTTCCTCTGATGAGGAAAGTTAGAGAAAATATAGGGAAAAAGGGAAAAGGCATGTTCCTAAAAATGATGAGAAGCATTTTTCTGTTACCTTAATAGGCCAGGCAGGCAAAGGCTGCAAAAAGTTACACTCATAAGGGTAGTTGACCATCGCCAGATTCACCCAAGTTTCAGCAATCCATTCTTTCAAATGCTCAACATCTTCAGAAGTTAAGGGGCTACACAGGTGAAAAGCCTCAGTGAGCCACAGAAGTCCACTGCCTGGGGGGAGAATCACAAGTGGAATCTAAAACAGGACTTGTCAGCCTACGTCTTTACATTTCACTACATATCATGATTTAGTATTACAAAAGTCACTGTTTTTTATACCACTTCTCCAAAAATGGTTTTCAACAAAACATTTTCAGAGCGATGGGATAATCCACACTAGACATTGGTGATATGTGTCTTCTCTATGCACCCCTTTTTAAGATACTATTGAAATAAGTAAAAACATAAGAACAAGGGGTGGGGTGGGGAGGAGTGTGGGAGGTGGGGAGGAGGGATAGTGGGGCAACAACAAGGGAAGGGGTAACAATGGTCAACAAATAATGGACTCATTGCCTTACTCATGTAACTGTAACCCCTCTGTACAGCATCTTTACAATAAAATTTTTTTAAAAAACAACAAAAATCCCCATAAGAACAGCATAGAATGAGAAGAATCACATAAACTATAAAACAAATGGGTGCATTTAACAAATACAGAATCAAGCGAAAGTAATAGTATATTCACGAACATGTTGATTACTAAAATTCAAGAACAAGTAACATTAGTCTATGTTTTAAGGAGTGAGGGTTGTGCTTAGCTTGGGTAGATGTAGAGGTAAAGACTGAAAATGTCACCAGGGAATTTTTAAGACGTTGATTGTGTTCTTTGTGTGTGTGTGTGTGTGTTCTATTGGAGTTGGAACTCAAGGTCTTATACTCATTCAGCTTGCTTACTCAGCTGGTATTTTACCACTTCAGCCAGGCCTCCAGCTCTGCTGATTATTTTAGAGTTTCATACAATTATCTTCCTTGACTGGCTTTGAAACTTGATACCCTTGATTTCTGTCTCTTGAGTAGCCAGTATTACAGGCATGAGTCATCAGTACCCAGCTTGATTGTATGCTTTCTTGACCTGGATGCTAATTATACTAAGCATTCACTTTGTGGAAATTCATCAAGCAATATATTTTGATTGGTATGGTTTCCTATATGTGTATAATACTTTTAGTAAATGTCTATTTAAAAAGTGGAAGTGCTAGACAGGACCAATGACTCATATGCCTCCAATTCCAGTTACTTGAAAGGTAAAAATATGAGAATCAGGGCCGGGTACCAGTGGCTCACACCTGTAATCCTAGCTACTCTCAGGAGGCTGAGATCTGAGGAATGTGGTTCAAAGCCAGCCAGGAAATGAAAGTCTGTGAGACTCTTCTCTCCAATTAACCACCAGAAAACTGGAAGTGATGCTGTGGCTCAAAGTTGTAGAGCACGAGGCTTGAGTGAAAGATCTCAGAGACAGAGCCTGGGCCCTGAGTTCAAGCTCCATGACTGACAAAACAACAACAAAAAATACATGAGAGAATGACATTGCCCCATTTGTTAGGAAATGAAAAGACTTGGAAAAAATTATATTAAGTGAAGTAAGCCAGGCCCAAAGAAACATAGGTCCCATAGTTTCCCTTATTTGCAATAACTAGTATATGTCTAGGACAAGTAAAAAAGGTCAAAAGCTATGTACATATGACCAGATAAGATGAAGTTAAGTGAAATGAACCCCAAGATAGGGACACATGTGGTTTTTTTCTTTCTTGCTATTGTTTCTAATTTTTTGTTGCTGTGTATGTTCCTCCCCCACAGTATAACCCCTGTTCTCACTGTATTTGATGTTGGTATAATTTGGGGAGGGAAAGGGAAAAAACAAAGTGTTTAAATAGGAATACAGGTTGACCTATTATAACAATGAGATGTACAAGACACTATGTTGAAAAATGAACTTTACAATATGGGGCAGGGGCAGGGGGAGGGGGGTTGAGGGATGGTAGGGGAAAAACAAAGGAGGAGGCAACAATTCTTGATAAGAAATGTACTCATTACCTTGCTCATGTAACTGTAAGCCCTCTGTACAGTATTTTCACAATAAAATAACTTATTAAAAAATACATGAAAGCCAAGATTTTAGTCCAACCTAAGCAACAAAAGTTAACAAGACCCTATTTCAAAGAACAAGCTTGGCATGGTGGTCTGTATTTGTAATCTCAGTTACAAGGAAGACATAGGTTAGAGGACACTGGCCTAGGCAAAGTAAAAGACCCCATATGAAATACAACTAGACAAAAAGGACCAAGGGCATGGCTTAGATGGTAAAGCACTTACCTATCAAGTACAAGGCCCTGTGTTTAAACCCCAGTACTGCCAAAAATATAAATAAAAATGTAAGTGTTGAATTTAACAAAGAAGAGGTCAAAAAAAAATCTGCAGTCTGAGTCTTTACTCCATTTCCTGCATGGGAAACAGGAAATGTTCCTCCTTCTTTTCCCATTTTTCCCTACTTCATCCTGTTAGACTAAAATAAATCCTTTCTAAAAAATAAAACAAAAATCCCTGCAAACCTATTCTGTTAATGAATGCTTACCGGAACCCGCAAGTCGATTAATGGCGTCCCAGGATTTCCGGATGCTCTCTGAACAATTTGGACCACTTTTCTTAAAGTCTGCAGTCACAATCTTCATAAACATACCACAAGGAACCAAATCCTCAAACTGCCAGATAGGGGCAGACGCTGCAAGAGCTCTATGGGAAGCGAGGAGAAATGAAAAAACAAACATAACTCATCCAAGTCAAGTCTTTAAAACGAAAACCGAGACTGAGTTAAAATGCAGAGAAAGAATAATGTCATGTTAATGAGACAGAAACTGGAAATCGCAATATGATAGAAAGGGACATTTCTTACCCCAAACAAATCTCTAAGTTCACCTGGGTGGTCAGTGAAAAGTGCATATGTCCACTTACCCAACTACTATGTGAGGGTATTTCATCCTAAGCCAGGCCGCAAGCATGCCACCATAAGACCCCCCGATGGCAATGACAGGTTGATTTTCGGCTCCAGGGATTGTTCTTTTCAAGTGTTTGATTAACTCTACAAAATCAACTAGGGCTTGTTCTGATGTCAGAAAATTCAAGTGTTTAGCATCCTAAAAGAAAAATCAAAAAAGAATATGGGTAAAAACCTGCACATAGATCTATATAAGCTTTTCTCCAAATACAGTTTCCAAGCCATTGTGCTAGCACGCCCAGTCAAAGCACTATGTGCTCGTCTAATGGGAGCTGGAGTTCTAACTTGCCCCACTCCCCGCAGCACAGCCCTGGTGTGGCCCCTGGGTTTATTTCTGTTAGATAAAACAGTAGGTTTATTTCTGTTAGATAAAACAATACACTTTCCTTTCAAGCCTGTCATATAACCCACCTGGGTGTCCCCTTTCAAATGTAAGTTCTATTAGCTGCTTTGTTGAAACTGTAGAAATAATAGAAAAAAAAAACCTGTGACATTCAACAACAAATGTGACAGAATATAAAACTGAGCTGGGTGCTGCTGACTCACATCTATAATCATAGCAACTCAGAAGACTGAGATCTGAGGATCACAGTTTGAAGCCGGCCTGAGCAGGGAAGTCCGTGAGAATCTCCAATTCACCACCAAAAAGTTGGAAGTGGAGCTTTGACACAAGTGGTGGAGCACCAGCCTTGAATGAGAAAGTGAAGGAGCATTGCCCAGACTCTGAGTTCAAGCGCCAGAACTGGCACACACACAAGAGCGCGCGCGCGCGCACACACACACACACACACACACACAGGACAAACTAACTTAACAGGCAACTGTTTTAATTTTACTTCAAATCTTGACATATTTAAAATATCTACAATGTAGCCAGAAAGAAACAAAACCCTGAGATAAGGATCATTGGTAAAAATAAAATTGATTCCTCCTAGGCCAGTGGCTCACGCCTGTAATCCTAGCTACTCAGGAGACTGAAATCTGAGGATCGCAGTTCAAAGCCAGCTCTGCCAGGAAAGTCCTTGAGATGCTTATCTACAATTAATCACCAGAACAACCAGAAGTAGCACTGTGGTTCAGTGATAGAGTGCTAGCCTGGCACAAAAAAGCTCAGGGATAGGATAGGTTTTTTATCACACTAGGAGTTAGGTGCAACTTTTTTCCTACCCTCAAATAATATCTGTAACATCTTCATGTTACTGACAAGTTCTCTGCGCACACAAAGGGAAAGTAGCATATGAAAAACAGCCCCTTGGCTTCACTTCCCTAGTAGAACATCAACTATAGTGACCTAGTGAGGAAATTATTTTTATCTGCAACAATCTGGTTTGCTTCCCAATGATTTTAAGATCTGTCAACTCTCCTAGTCATGCTTAATGTTCTAAAGAATAAAATTCCCCATGCAGACCAAGAAATATCAGCATAGGGATATCTTTAACTTACCTTTACTTATTTTAGTAATAATATGAGATAATAAATTCAGTCCTGAGAAGAAACATGTAAAAACTCCTTCAAAATAGTGAAATGACTTGTCTCAAGTTCTTCTGGCTAGGGGTTCTAAGAACATAATATGTGTGTATACTGGTGATATACAAGATGATTTTAGGTACAGTCCATGGTTTTTTGTTGTTGTTGTTTTGTGAAAATACTGTACAGAGGGGTTACAATTACATGAACAAGGTAATGAGTATATTTCTTTTTTTATTGTGAAAATACTGTAAAGAGGGGTTACAATTACATGGGCAAGATAATGAGTACATTTCTTATCAAGCATTGTTGCCTCCTCCTTTGTTCCCCCTTACCATCCCTTTCCATCTCTCCCCACTGCCCCCGACTGTCCCTACCCTTCCTCCCTTCCTCACCCCCCCCCCGCACCGAAGTTGTAAAGTTCCTTTTTCAACATAACATCTTGTACATCTCATTGTTGCAATGGGTCCACCTGTATCCCTATTTAAACAATTTGTTTTTTCCCTTCCCCTCCACAAATGATACCAACATCAAATATAGTGAAAACAGGGATTATGCCATGGGGAGGGACATACAAAGCAACAAAGAAATCATCTTATAAGTATGTTAGAAACAATAGCAAGAAAGAAAAACCATATGAGGCCTTATCTTGGGGTTCATTTTGCCTTACATCAACTTATCTGACCATTTCTGTTTGTCTCAGACATATACTAATTATTTCAAATAAGGGAAACCATGGGACCTATGTTTCTTTGGGCTTGTCTTACTTCGCTTAATATAATTTTTTCCAAGTCTTTCCATTTCCTAACAAATGGGGCAATGTCATTCTTTCTGATGGAGGCATAAAATTCCATTGTGTATATACACCACATTTTCTTGATCTTGATCCATTCATCTACTGAGGGGCATCTGGGTTGGTTCCAGATCTTAGCTATGGTAAATAATGCTGCAATAAACATAGTTGTGCTGGTAGCTTCAGTATGGCCTTGTTTGTGATCATTTGGGTAAATGCCCAAAAGTGGGACTGCTGAGTCATAGGGGAGCTCTATGTGAAGTCTTTTGAGGAACCTCCATACTGCTTTCCAAAGAGGTTGAACAAGTTTACACTCCCCACATCTCCTCCAGCCTCTGTTGTTATTAGAGTTCTTGATTATAGCCATTCTAACTGGGGTGAGGTAGAATCTCAATGTTGTTTTGATTTGCATTTCTTTTATGGCTAAGGAGGTTGAACATTTCTTCATGTGTCTATTGGCCATCCTTTTTTTCTCTTCAGAGAAGTTTCTTTGTAAGTCTTTAGGCCACTAATTATTGGGCAGTAATTTCTTTGAGGATTTGTTGTTGGGGGATTTAATTTTTTGAGTTCCAGGTATATTTTAGAGTCTTATTTTAATGTAATCTGAAGAAAATAATTAGTACTTTATACATAAAGCCCTTAGTAAAAGTAATGCTGGGTTTAAAAAGTAAATTCCAACTAGGTGCAAAGAGGCTGAGATCCAAAAGATCGCTGTTCAAAACCAGCCACGGCAGAAGATTCTGCAAGACTCCATCAAAAACAAACAACAACAACAAAAAAAAAACAGTAAAAGCTGGCATACATGCCTACCAAATAAGCTAGCAAGCAAGATAGTTCAAGACCCTGAATTCGAACTATTTATTTTGTTTTAAGTGAGTTTCTTAAAGAGAAATATTTTTTAAAAAATAGTATTTCTAGGTGAGGTGCTGTACACTTTTATCCCAGCTACAGGAGAAGCACACTAGCTGGGTGCAGTAGTAAACACCTTCATCCCCAGCCACCCAGGGAAGCACAAAGCCTGAGCATAGAGGAAGACCTTACCTTATACATAACCAGTACAGGGCTGGGAATGTGGTTTAACAGGAGAGTGCTCGCCTAGCATGCATGAAACCCTGGGTTCGATTCCTAGGTACCACATAAACAGAAAAAGCCAGAAGTGGAGCTGTGGCTCAAGTGGTAGAGTGCTAGCCTTGAGCAACAGAAGCTCAGGGACAGTGCCCAGGCCCTGAGTTCAAGCCCCAGGACTGGCAATGATGATAATAATAACAACAACAACAACAATAATAACCAATGCAAAAAAAAAAAAAGGAGCTGAGGATGTAGCCAGCACAAGGCACTGAGTTCAATCCCTAGTACTGAAAAACCAACAAACAAAAATATTTTCCTTTAAAACAAAGGCATACTTACTTTAAATGAGTTGTTGCCAAAGGGCAGGGACTTTCCATAGTATCGATGCTCAGCAAACACCAACATAGCACTCAGTTCCTCAGCCACATCCCACATGAACCCCTAGGAAGCGTAAAAAAGGAGGATGTGAAAGAGCACTACTCAAACTTTTTGCAAGCCATATAAAATAGCTACTGATGCAGACCAGAACAAACTCTCTGGCTGCTGAAATGGCTCAAATGATAGCAGTGATTATTTAACAAGGGTGATTCCAGAGTTCCAATCTTACAAAGAACTGTCTGAAAAGTTACATGATTTGGCTTATTCTAGGGATATAAGATGTCATAACTGTTTCACTGCTAAACAACAGGTTCACACTGATAGTCATTCCAATTCTTCTTCTCCTGACCCTCTACCTCTTTGAATTGGCATTCTTGGAATCTTCAAATTGCATGTGTACCAAATATTCTAGCAAAGAGCTAAGTTCAAGGCCAGCCTGGATAATGGTATCAGGACTCAAACTCAAAAAGGAAAAGAAAAGGACTAGGTCCTATCATAGCTCAAGTGGTAGAGAACATACCTACCCATCAAGACCTGGGTTCAATCCCCAGCACTGCAGAAACAGGCACTGTGAGTTCAGACAAAAACACTGGGACTTGAAATCATCTCTATATTGATACAACTTTTAACTAGCAGAGTCAAGACTCTAATACAGCACAATCACCAAGCACTGCCAGGCTTCTTTGCTCCATCACATATGTCTGGCCAGGAAACTGGTCACTGTGTTTTGTTTTGTTATGGTTTTATTCTGTTTTATTCAGTTGTGGCCTCAAAATCCTTTAGAAAGCATCCCAAGAGCCAATATCAATGGATTTGATTATTTAGCAGTGATTTAAAAGATATCATTCTTGGAAGTGGTGCTATGGCTTAAAGTGGTAGAGTGCTAGCCTTTAGCAAAAGAACTCAGGGACAGCACCCAGTCCCCGAGTTCTAGTCCCACAACCAACAAAAAAAAGTCACTCTTAACCAGGCATCAGTGTTTCATGCCTGTAATCCTAGCTACTCAGGAGGCTGAGATCTGAGGATCACAGTTCAAAGCCAGCCCAGACAGAAAAGTCTAAGATTCTAGATTCTTATCTCCAATAAACTACCACCCCCCACAAAGAAAAAGCTGGAAGTGGAGCTCTGGCTTAACTGATACTGCACTAGTCTTGAGCAAAAGAAGCTCAGAGACAGCATCCAGGCCTTGAGTTCAAGGCCCAGGACCAGTATGCATGTGCATGTGTGCACATGTGTGCCCGTGTGTGCACACCCCCACACCCCCATCATTCTTAATGTATGTTCTTACTTTCTAATGGGTTACTCCCTAACAAGGACTATGAACCTCAAAACATTTGTTTTGATCAGCAGCAACAAAAGAGCTGCATGAATGTGAGCATGGAGAATCTGGCATGATATCTGTGATGGTTATATAACCCCACCTTCTCTTCCTAGGCCCTACTCATTCCCTGCACATATCTATGCATTTGGCCACACACATCTCAAGCACACCCTCTTCTGCCTGCCCCATCCTGGCAATATTGATCCCTTCTTCAATACTTCCCTGATAGCTATAGTTCTCTATTACTATCCACATGTCTTGCCCTATGAGGCTGAGTGCCCTAAGAACACCCACACTTCTGTGGAGCTGTCTTCAGGTTGTGAATTGAACCTGATGCACAGTGATTATTTGCTTGCCTCTATTTCAGGAGTACTTCTATTTTTCAAAGAGATCCAGGTTATATATTATATATTATATAGATAGATACATAGATAAAATTAAATATTTTTCTTTTCTATATATACTCTTTCCTTTAGATATAAATTAGCATATATTCATAATATATAATATATTCATATATTTATGATATATTGATATAGATGTATTACATATTTATATGTTATATATTACTATAAAACATATTCAAACATATTTTTCATTTTCACAACGATTTGTGTTTCAGTTTTATTCATTTAACTATTATTTATTGAGCACCTACCACATGCAAATATTTTTCCAGTTTATTGTAATAAAAAGCAAATGTTTGGAGCAGAGGAATTTCACAAACTGGCACATACCGTATTATTGCTAAACCAGACAATGTCCCCTTCATTACCAGTGTAGAAAAGTATTGATCCACCATCTTTCTTCCAGTGTCTATCAGCTATTAGGTACCGCTGTTTAAAGGTTTTCGTGTCACTAAATCCAAAATGATTAACCTATGTAAGAAACAAAATAAACAAGATATATTTTACAGGAAGGAAATGAAGCGATATCAACATAAAAGTGCTTCTCCCACTAAAATCAACTATATTATAAAAGTAAGCAAAAGAAATTTTGATTTTCATTTTTATTATTAATAGTAATATGGATGGATGTTATTTTCTTTATATGGTTATTGGTGGAAAATATGTTCAGTAGGAATGAGAACAGATACAATTATAAAGTCAAGTAGCTATTTAAAAACACAATGATACTAAAACTGAATTGAAAATAGAACTACTAATCCATTATTTTCTCACTTATTTCTGTTAATTTTTGACAAAAATTGTACATATACTGTACAACATGATGTCTTGTAAAAGGAATACATCATAGAATGGCTAATTAAGTTAACTAAAATAGGCATTACCTCACAAATGTATCATTTGGGGAGATAAGAGGATTTTAAATCTATTCTCTTAGAAATTTTCAAGTGTACAACCTAGCCCATAGATTTTCAAAATTAATACATTCTTAATTATCTAAAACTTCATTTCATAACCTTTCAATATTAACACTCACAAACCACATAGACCACTGATGAGGCCAATAAACATTGTCACTGTAGAATACTCCAAATCCCAAGATTTGGGTATTTTATACCATTCCCAACAAAAGGAACTAAGGCTTCTTAGTGAAGTAGCTGACTGATATTTGGAACAAGAAAATAGGCCCACACATATTGCTAGGCAAAGAAGTGCTCAGAAATTAATAGCATTCAATTAATGGACATAGAAGCCCATTGGTTAATGCTTAGTAAATTGAGCATAAAAACAATAAAGACTGCAATTGACTAAAATATTCAAATTATGAAAAGTATTAGTGCATAAGGACATTTGTTTAAAGAGCAAGGAAAAAAATCATTTGCCACTACTTTAAAATGTCCATGAAATCAGTCTTTTACTTTGAAATTGGGAATCAAAAATAAAAGAATTCAACTACTGGTTTTTATTTTTTTACATTTTTTATCTGTATCAATTAGTTGTACAAGGGAGTTTGATTTTGACATGTTTGTTCATATATGCATACCTTGAGCAGACTCACCCCACCTCTCCCTTGTCTCCTCCCCACACTTCCCCAACCAATACCCACAAAGTTCAATACATAAAACATGTTGATCATAAGAATTCAAGATTTATCCTGCCTTTTCAACACAATTGTATTTTGGGGTACCAAATAGTGACAGTTCATAAAAAAGAGGTGTTTAATCAAATGTCAGAAAGAATTAGAGAATTAGTAAAATAAAATGATAGTTCCTCAAGAATTACCAATTTGGGCAAGAATTACCAATTGTTGTTAAAAGCCTCATGAGAATGGATGATAAAACTTGAGGGAAGGGACAGGAGGAAGGTGAGGGAGAATAAAAGAAGACATGATATTGACTGAGAAGCATGGCTCATAATCTGACTTACAAAACTGTAACCCCTTCGTGCAACTACTTTAATAATAATAAAAATAAATTAGATGATGGTAAAATGAACACTCATATATAGTGTCAGAATGATACCATAAGGAATTCTCTTTTGTCACAAGGGGAAGAGGTAACTTTATAAGGAAGAATGTGGCTCAAGGGAGAGTACATGTCTAACACCTCCGCAAGCGTTAAGTTCCATAAACAAACAAACAAACAAGGGTCAGGCTCTCATCACCTTAACCTTGGGACAAATACATCACTAATGATGAAGCAGACAGGGTTATGTATCTCTCAGTAAACATAACACAAAGCACATATCACTTGTGGTATACTCTGGCCAAAAAAAACATTGTGTTTATCTTAACTCAGACTTTAGATCTAATGACTAGGCTCCAGGAAATACAGAGGGAGGATGATTAAGTTGCAGAGACTCTAAAGCAGTGGTCAGGCAAAGCTGAAGGCAGGACCCTTCACAAGGCTATAGGATGGAGCAAAAGGCAGTTAAGATTAAATTAATTTTAAGGAATTTAATACCCACATGCAATGCATGGCCCTGGAGTGACTCCTCGCTTGAATGAACATGACAACCTGGAGACAAGTGGGCTAATTTGAATATTGAAAAGATATTAGACAATACTAAAGCTTTGTTGGAGTGATACATTATTTTGACTGCATAAGCTATTTGTCTTTTACAGCTATACTCTGAAATATTTAGAGAAAGAATGCAAACTGTGATTTCCTTGAACATACTTCAACATAAAAAAGAAAAGTGAGGACTGGGAATGTGGCTCAGTGGAAGAGCGCTTGCCTTGCATGCCTGAGGCCCTGGGTTCGATCCTCAGCACCACATAAGCAGAAAAAGCCAGAAGTGGCACTGTGGCTCAAGTGGTAGAGCGCTAGCCTTGAGCTGAAATGCTGAATGACAGTGCCCATGGCCCAGAGTTCAGGCCCCGTGACTGACAAAACAAAAAGGAAAGTGAATTTAAATGAGCAAAACTTTATATTGAAATAAACAAAACACACAAAGATATTGAGACTTTCCAAAACACACTAGACATGTCAAAAAATAAGAGTAACAAAACTATTTCAAACTTTAATGGAGCTTCCGATACATTTTTTAGGCTGTTTTGGCCCTTTGGTATTTTAACTCCACTTTCAAAATACAATAATCAAATGCTACCATATGATTTTAAAAATTCGTGTGTTTGCAGGGTGACCCACAGTACACTGCCCTGTGCCTTCAGGGTGGTGGAAGCTGAATCCCTAGGTTTCTGGAGGGACGACATGAGGAGGCAGTACACAGGTGCTGTTCCACCCTCACTAGAATGGGAGCCATGCTGACCTAAGCCTGACCCCATTATAAAACAGCCCCATCTCCATCTCCATCCACCTGTGTACACATACACACACACACACACACACACACACACACACACACACACACACACACTTCAGTCAGAGATCCCAAAATCAAGTGTCTTAAATTTATACCTAAACTTCATGCTTTCTGATATTATAATCATAACTATAGGTACACCTTAAATATAAGCTATTTCCAAATACATAGACACATGCACTTCTTCTGAGGGAAATCAGCAGTTTATAGGGACTAGGTATATAATCATGATGTGCACATGCTATACCGTCCTCTTATCGCAGACCAACCACTCAGTCAGCAAGCATGCATTGAGCTCCTGTTCTTGACCAAGTGCAGAGCTAAGGGACCATGAGGAGGCTGAGCCGCAACCCCTACATTTAACTTTGATGAACTCAACTCAGCCTAAAAAGCAAGGGAGAGACATAGTGGAGACAGCAAGTGACTCCATCTGCTTCTGTTCTGCTAGTACAAGGTTCTCCCTGAGAGCTCCTGCCCACTCTCAGTATCAACCTGAGAAAGTATTCGAATCCTAGACCAACTGAATCTGACGCTGCAGGAAGGGGCAGAATCTAGAAAATCCATTCTTAACCAGCTCTTTGTGTGATTATGGTATTTTGAAAACCACTCAATTAGAAAGCACCAATGTAAGACATGAATTTGTTGTTTATTCTCTTGATCTAGGTTTCAGAAGACCTCTAAAGTAGCTTGCTAGGCTGAATAAGTCTCTGGTATTTAATTACTACCTGACATTAGACCCCAAAACAAGCCAACTTTCCATCTAAAATCCCAAGGGTCACAGGAACTTTAGAACCAGAAAGAAGGAAGGAAGGAAGGGAGGGAGGGAGGGAGGAAGGGAGGAAGGGAGAGAGGGAGAGAGGGAGGGAGGGAGAGGGAGGGAGGAAGGGAAAAAGGGGAAAAGGGAGAAAGGAGAGGAAGGAAGGAAGGAGAGCAAGTCTCTCTGTAGAAGAAAGGACACTGTGAGAGTTAACAGGCCTTCCTTGGCTGGGAATGTGGCTTAGTGGTATAGTGCTTGACTAGCATGTATGAAGCCCTGGGTATGATTTCTCGGAAACACATAAACAGAAAAGGCCAGGAAGTGGCGCTGTGGCTCAAGTGGTAGAGTGCTAGCCTTGAGCATAAGCTCAGGGACAGTGCTCAGGCTCTGTGTTCAGGACTGGCTAAATAAATAAATAAATAAGACAGGCCTTCCTAGTTGTAAAACCAAGTATTTAACCACTCTGAAGCACTGGTGTCTTCCTAAGTCATTCAAAGAATTGAGTCAAGGATAGAGAAAATGTACCTAAAGTACCAAGTATAGTTTCTGGTAATAATAAGGGCTCAATACATGTAAGTTCTCTTCTCCATTTCGTTTGCATACCTATCCTAGGAACAACTTGGGCAAGAGAAATGAAGCACCTCTGAGAATTGCAGGAATCATTCTTAGAAGGTCAAAATCTCCTATTTTCTAAGTGTTTCATCTCAGGGCTTAACAAGTTGAAATTTTTACACAGTGCGGTGTCCTTTGCACAACATGAATTTACAGAATTTTCTTGGCTTCTTGCCATCATCAGGGATATCAACCTCCAACTATACACATTAACTGTAGTTCTCATAGCTCCTGATCCAGCACACAGGGGCAGTGGTGGCCTCTGCTGGTCAGAAATGAGACCCACATTGCACTTTCCTTTCTGTGATCCTGAAGGGAGATGTAACAAATCCCAACAAGAAAGGGCTTTACAAATCATATGATCTGTGTTGCTCAGGTCAAAGAGGTCAAATGACCTGATTAATGTCAAATCAGAGCTGGAACTTTGCATTTGCAATGTGATTTCTTTTTTTATTGTGAAAATACCATACAGAGGGGTTACAATTACATGGGCAAGGTAATGAGTACATTTCTAATCAAGCATTGTTGCCTCCTCCTTTGTTTAAATAACTGAAATAAATAACAGTGCTGTAAAAGTAACACAAGCATTATTACCCCCAAAAGGAAACATACTTCTGGCCATGTTCAGCTGTGATGAACTGTGGTCAGGAAAAATCCAAAAATAAAGAAGTGTTGGATTGGGAAGGATGAGGGAGAATGTTGAAAGGGGTGACATCACTCAAGATGCATTGTATTCATAAACTGATTTGGAAGGAGGAGGAGAAGGAAGAAGAAGAGG